GTGATCAGATGCTGTGTTACTGCACCAACCTCATGTGCACACACAGACATCATCCCGTGGCCTCTGACCTGCTCCAGGATCTTGCATGCTTGATGCAAGTGATCCGAGTGCTGCCATCCAGCTCTGGGAGAGGCACAGGGAGGGAAGGAAGGGCTGTGCACCACGCTTGGCAGCGTGCCTGGGGAACAGCCCGCTCATCAGACACACGTCCTGGCTGCTGCCTGGCTCTGCAGGTCACCAAGGAAATCCCATTTGGCTTTTTTTTTTTGCAGAATTAAGTCCTCAAATCCCATTGAGGATCTATCTTCAGGTGCCTTCCTCATCATCCTCATTGGGTGCAGCCATAGCAGAGCCAACTTTCCAGTTTAACCACTTGGCTCCATTGCCATCCCTTCTTCACCCATGAGGAAGGTTTTGCTGCCAGCGTCAGCCTGTCCACGCTGAGCTGCACAGGGTTTGGGAGCAGTTCTGTTTAGGAAATGTGTGGGGAAGGAAGGAGCGTGGCCTTTGGTTGGGGCAGATGGGTGCAAGCTGTGAGCGCCAGAAAGGACTCATGTGCTTTTATTTCTCCTCCTTCTCTCACTGCTGCAGTTGATCATCCCAGCCCTGGCAGCCATCACACAGGTGACACACAACTTCCTGGCCTTCGTCCTCCTGGTGATCATGGCAGGCTGCAGCACGGCTGTGCTCTACCTTCTACCCTGGTGAGCAGACGCACCCCTGAGACACTTGTCAGGCAGAGAGGATGGGAAGGTGCTTGGGAAAGCACTGCCCATGCTGTGCCAAGGCTGCACGTTTGCTCAATACAGCAGCTTTTGGGCCGCAGAGGGAGGTGGGACTGGGCAGGGATGTGGATGTGATCCACGGTCCCCCAGCAGCATCGTTCAGTCTGCGTGCGGGTTTGGCAGCAGGACACCAGTCATTGCACAAGGCGCTGGTTGTCTTCTCTTTTCCTGAAGCAGCTGCTGTGCCCTGTAAGACACTCTCTGCCCTGTCTGCCTAAGGCAGAGGACAGGCACAAAACAGTCTCCAGAGCGGGGTTCTGGGAGGGGTTTCTGTCTGTGCTCCCTGGGCAGGCCTGGCAGTGGCTATAGCCGAGTTCAGCTGATGCTGGCGTGGGTGTCACTGACACATCAATGGGGCTCTCTGTCCCCAGGTCCATGCTGCCAGATGTGGTGGATGACTTCAGGCTGAGGAACCCCAGCTGCCTCAACCTGGAGACTCTCTTCTACTCGTTTTACGTCTTCTTCAACAAGTTTGCAGGTGGCCTTGCCGTGGGGATATCAACACTGAGTTTACAGTAAGCCCCAAACACCACCTCCCCTATCTCAGCCCAGCACAGGCACTTGCCACTGCTGTTTTCTAGAGCGTTGATAGGAGATACTGGAATGAGACACAGGGGGATCTGAATTTGTCTTTCCAACATCCACTGGGAGCAAAAGGAGCAGAAAGGAGTGGGAATTCCCCAAAAGTGGGACTCTGATTCCAGACCCTAGAGAGCAATGGAGGTGCCAGCTCACCTTCCTGCAGCAGCAGGGCCGGGGGAAAGGAAAACTGTTCTTCTCTTTAGTTTTGCAGGTTACCACGCTGCAGGCTGCACGTACAACCCCTCTGTCATCCTCACCCTGCAGCTTCTCATGGCTCCAGTCCCAATAAGCCTGCTGCTCATTGCCATAATCATCTTCTGCCTCCATCCCATCGATGAGGAGAGGAGGAAGCAGATGAAGATGGAGATGGAGGCAATGGGGTAAATTTGAGTTCTCTGGAGGAGATGGATCATGTAGCACTAGTCTGGGTGTCCGTGTTGGTCCTGGCCCGACACAGAAATGTTGTCCAGGGGAAGGACTGCATGGGTCCAGTCTGGTTCCTCTTGTGTGGGCTATGATCCTCTCTAGGGGTGCATTTCCCAAAGGGCTGGGGGATATTTTGGAGGTTGCTGACTTCACACCAGATTTTGTGAGCGCTCGTGTTCCTTTTAACAGGCGTGAGGCACAGTGCAGCAGCTGAGAATGAACCCGGGGCTGGAGCGGGTGAGTTCACGGGGAAGGACGTGGATTTGCTGTGCTGTCAGGATGTGCTGCTGTCAGGGAAAGTCGTCGTTTCCTGTTGTTTCCTGTTCCCTGTCCCAAAGGCCCATTTTCCATCCTGACCCCCC